CCGATGCAGGACAAGGCCAGTCATCATGGAACATCCAGACTTGGCCCTCGGCCCAGGGGAGGACCGCTCCCTCCTCAGAACACTTTCACTTCTGGAGAGAAAAGAGTCTGTCTTGGAGAAGGTGGAGCAGTAGTGACTCCAAAGCCCGCTGATGGCGGGAACGGGACCAGGCGGGGGGTGCGGGGAGGGGGGCTCGGCCAGGCAGCGCGGAGGCGGCCTCGGGGTGCTTCCGGGGAACAGCCTGGAGTGGCCAGTGTTCTGCTCGCCCCAAGCCCACCCCCAAAAGTTCAGCCACAGCTGGAAAAGCCCTGCCGCTCCCAGGCGATCGTGCAGGAGGCCGGCGCCCTCTCCGCATGCTGGTGGCAGGGAGGCCCGCCTGCCCGGAGGCCGGCCTGATTCACGCTAACAAGCGCCAAGGGTTGGGATTAGGACGCCGCCGGGGTGGGGGTGGGGGCTGTGTCGCGTGATGGACGGGCTGCCGCGGGGACAGGCCCTGCGGGGAGGCACAGATCACCGGGCAGGAGGCCGGAGGAGCCACACCACAGAAACCCCCGGGGGGCCGTTGCGGCCTGTGGTGGTTACTCATGCCCCAGGAATAAGGGGGGCCTGGGGCAGCTGCGCGCTGGCCGCCTGCTCACACACGGGCCCTGTAAGCGCTCGGGTGACTGGGCCCCCATCAATCGCAGAGAAACCACCCCACCAGCTCGGTGAGTGTGGGTGGCCCTCCGAGCAGCTTCGACTTGCACCCGCGCTCCCTGACGCTGGGAGACAGGCCGGCAGGGGAGGGGTCGCCGCTCCTGGGGCCGACGCTCCCAGTCAGAAGCTGAGGCTCATGTCGCTCCCAGGTTGCGCTGCCCGTGAACTCGGATGCTCCAGGGGCTAAGCGGGCTGGGCAGCATGGGGTGCCGACTTCTTCCAGCAGGCGCTCCTCCCCCGAGCCCCCCGTTCCCCGGCCTCAGTCCGCCCTGCGCCCCTCTGTGGTGGGTGAGCCTGTGAACTTGGAGTCTTCTCTTCCAAGTGCGGCCCAGCCTGCGGGCGCCCCGGGAGGGCCAGCCATTGTTCCCGCTGTCTTGGAGTTCTTCCCTTTTGGACCCGGAACCCCTGGTTCCGGGGGCAGATCCCTGTGGAGCAGTGGGAGGAGGGGGCCCAGCTGGCGGGGGCGCGTTGCCTAGCCTGCCCACACCCCTCCCGGACTGCGGGGGCTCAGACGGTGTGTCTTGGGGTGAGCTGCCTGCTCCCCGTGCCATCAAGGACAGGGCGAGCCCGCCGCCCCGTGGCCCCCCGTGCCGGGGTGGGCTCTCGGGGCCAGGGTGGGTGTGACGGGCGGTCCGTTAACCCTGAGCCCCAGCTGATCGGCACCCCTCTCTCCACCCCAGACAAAGAAAGGCTATCAGAAGACGGTTCTGGAGATCGACACCCCCAAGGTGGAGCAAGTGCCCATCGTGGACATCATGTTCAATGACTTTGGTGACGCGTCACAGAAATTTGGATTCGAAGTGGGGCCGGCTTGCTTCCTGGGCTAGGAGCGGGAGCCCGCCCCCAGAGCAACCTCGTGACCTCAGTGCGCCGCCTGTGGGTGTCCTGGACAGTGAAGGCCCCTCGTCCCCCCCACCCCCGACCTCGTCTGCGCCCCGGCCTCGCGCCGGGCCCGCCCCTCACCCAGAGAGAGCAAAGGGAAAGAGCCGCGTCCCCACCCCGGAGCCGAATCACATGACCTAGACGTCCCACAGCCGCCGCCGCTTCCTCCGGCCCTTCCCTCTGCGCTGCGCTCCCCGGGGAAGGGGTCGGCCATGCATCCTGCCCCGGCCCGGGATCTCTTCCCGGAGAGCCCACGGGGTGCGGGAGGGGCTGCAGTGTTTGGAGATCACGGTCGTTTTTTTTTTAATTCAACTTGAAGATGTGCGTTTCCCCTGACCTTCAAAAGTCGTCCGAGGCCGGCCTTGCAAAGGTTACCCCGCCCTCCAGAGCCTCCGTCTTAACAAGATCCATTCACGGGCCAAATGTCATTCCGCACGTGCCTTTCCGATGGATTAAAGGTGCTTTTGTTTTTGTGAGTTTTAAGTAAATATTTGTATTGTATTGTCCTAACGTTCAGTGTCCCTGACTTTCAATCACGCACGGGAACCCAGCTGCAGTCCCACTGGGAGAATTGGACAAGCAGGCGGGGCGTCCACTCTGGGATGCAGTGCACAGCCCGTCTGCTCGGGGGTGGGGCATAAACGGGAAGTTTGCCAGGGCAGCAGGGACTCACCCCAGCCCTGAAAAGGCAGGCGCCAGTGCCCTTTCAGACACATTTTTGATTAGCTCTGGATTTTTGTTTTAAAGGGGAGAAAAAAAAAGGATCCTATACATTGCCTTTCCCACGTACGCTTAGAGGAAAACACAGACTTAAATTCATTGCAACTGCTTCCTTGTTCCATTTTCCTTCCTGCAGAGCCAGGGCAGGGAGACCCCATTTCCTGTAGATGATGACTTTAATGATAATTGGTGCTGATTTTTACGCTCCTCTTTTGTGGTGCTATCTGTTGAGATCTCCTTGAAGGCGGCACGGGGGGCACCTGGCCGAGCCGTGCCCCGTTCTCCTGTCTTCCCCGCTCCTGGCTCTCGCCCCCACCACCCGGGGTTTTGCCAAGGCTGCTGAGAAGGACGCAGGTCCGCTCGCTCTCCTCCCCGATAGCGGTGACGCTGCCCCGGGCCCAGGCCCAGGATCAGGCTGCGCTTCTGTGATTTGACAACACACACGCACGCGCCCCCACAGACGCTCTCCGTGTGGTCCGCGTGTGACGAACGTTTGTGGTGCTAATATCTGTGTTTGTTCCGAGAACTGAATTGAAGCTGCGTGGGGCGTCTCAGCTGGGCTGCCGTCGGCGTCTCGGCAGACAGACAAATGTGCAATGAACTCTGAGTCCCTCCGGGGCTGCCAGCGGTGCCTCGTCCCCACCAAAGCAATTTGGAGTTTTCCATCTGCAAATGTCCCCAGGCGCAGGTCTCAGCTGCGAGGAAGCTCGGGGCTGGCCGGCCCGTCCTGCCCCCTCCTCCTGGAGCAAGGACCGGGACCTGCAGGCCGGCGAGGAAAGGCGATCCCTTTACTGTGAAAAGCTGCCCTCGTGCAATGCCCTTTCCTTCCATGACGGGAGAAGCCAGACAGGCCCTCGGGAGGAGCCGTGACGGTCCCGGTTCCGGTGCTGCCCTCGCCCGCCCTGCCCCGTCGGAACGTGGCTCCAGCCTGGGAAGCCCCAGCAAAGCACCCCGGGAGCAAGGGAGCACCGCCCGCGAGGCCTCCCCGAGGGCCGGAGACCCAGGCTCGCTCTCGCCGAAGAGAAGTCTGGCTTCGAGGTTCTCCCAGATCCTGGACGCCAGCGTCTGCCGACGGCCTTCTCCCTCATCCCTTCAAAAGAAAAGCCATATCAGAGCGGTGCCGCCCGCGGCCTGCGGGCTCTGTCTAGGTCATGTGATTCCGTTCTGGTTTCTCGTCCCGCCCGAGTTCTCCTTTTGTTCTGTCCATCTTTTCCTTCCGTTGGTCCCTTTGAAGCCGTTGTGATTTGTACTGAAGTCAAAATGTGTCCCATTCTCCCCAGAACACTTGGCTATTGTGTATTGCAATAAAATTGCTTCTTATATTTGCAGAAATCCTTTTGGCGTAATTTTATTTTTTCCCCCTTAATCTATATAATCGGACACGTGGACAAAAAGTAAAAGCAGACAGTAAAAAGAAAGCCCACGGGGAAGATTTAAGACACTAGGCCCTTCAGAACAGAATGTCAGGTGACACGCCGTGCGTCCCCGGAAACTCCAGCAGACGTGTTCACACATTTTAACTGTAACGCCCGGGAAGGGTGTTCTTACGAGATTTTAAAGCTTTGTAACAGAGGAATAATTGTCACTGCTTTTCAATAAATCCAGTCTCCTGTTTCCACTGTCAACAGATGTGATTGACTGTCTTCTTAAGTGTGACCAAGGCCTTCCCCTGCTCAGACTGACATGTGGCCCCAGGCTCAGCGACAGTAGGAAAACTCTCAGGTCCTGGCAATGGTCACAGGAAGAGGAAAGGCGGCCCTGCCCAGGCCGCGGGAGCTCTTCCTCGGAGGAGGGGGCAGTGGGCCTCCCGCGGACAGAGCTGTTCCCTGGGGCGCCCTCGGGATGTGGTCAAGCACCAGGCCTCCAGGCTTCCTGGAGCATCCACAGCCTTGAGCATCCAGACCTCCGGGGTGTGTGGGGCGCACCTCGCCCTGGGCAGTCGGCGTCCTGGGGCCGGCCGCAGGTCCCCGCGTCCCCCGCTCTGCTGTCCAGCTTCATAGTGGGGTCATACTGCCCAGCCCCCGGGGCCAGAGTGGGGTGCGTGGCTCGTCCTGGCCACTGACCCTGAGCAGAAGCGCCGGCAAGTCTGATGTAGTGGTTCCCTCTCTTGTCACCAGCCATGAGCCTCCCCGGCAGGTTCCCAGAGGGAGCTGTCCCTGGCCAACCTGCCGTGCGCTTGCAGCAGGAGCCAGACACACATTGTCATGTTCAGCCCCTGACAGTGGGGACTGTTGTTGCTGCAGCAACACCTAGACTCCATGGCTCTAAAGCACGGTCCGGGGGCCAGCGGCAGCCGCGTCGTCTCCTTGCTAGCAGCGCAGCCTCCCAGGGCCCGGAGGCAGGCCTTCTGCACCAGACGCTTCGCAAGAGGCTGCGTTATCTGTGTGCTGACAAGGCCGCTGGGTGATTCCGGCGCTCACCTGGGTTGGGGATCCACTGGCCTGCACGGCCCTGGAGTAACAGGAACGGGAAGCCAGAGTGGGGAATTCCCTTCACAGCAGCAGCACGAGTTGGCGGGTCCTGCTGTCGGGTGTGGAGGCAGGGACTGTGCTCAGCGGGCGGAAGGCTCCCTGTCTCCAGGGACAGAACCCACGTGGTCAGATTGCTGTCTGCTGCCGGCGAGGGCTTGCGGGCAGTCACAGCGTGTGACCTGGGGAGAGGTCGCAACGAGGCCGGTGCCGCAGGCTGGGCGCGCTCGCCCGCGCTTGTCTTGAAAGGATGCAGGACGCGCAGACTCGAGGATTTTCAGAGCCGGAAAAGACAACTTCCTCAGCAGCCACTGAGACGCTAAAGACGAAACTGAGAAACGCTTTGCGGGACCAACGCCGAGTAAGCGCGTCCATCACAGGCGGGAGCAGCGCGTCTGCGGTGGAAGCCTCGGCGCCGTCACAGCACCCACAGGTGGCTCCGGAAACAGCTGGCCCTCCCGCCAAGCCGGCCAGGTCTGCAGCTGCCGCAGGGAAGCCAAGACGGGGCCCGCGGGGAGGGTGGGAGCCACGGGCCAGGCGCTGGCCCTGGGGGCCGGCTGGAGCTGCTCGCCTGCAGGAGGGAGGAGTCCTACTCGGAGCCACCAGCCTGGCCTGAGTCGGCCATCGAGACTTACAGTGACTCGCAGGCCGCCGGGGCCGCACGGGCCCTCCGGTGCCCCACAGTCTGGGTGAGGGACACCCGGGAAGGCCAGGGGCCGCCTCCCCTCACTGGAGGCAGGTGAACCTGAAAGGTGAGGGGCTGAGCCTGGGAAGAGGAGAGGGAGGAGGGTAGCAATTGAGACCGTCGGGTCCTGTGTGAGACCCCTCTGGGGCGAGGCCGACAGAGCCCCCGCTTCTCTGCGCCTCTTCCCTGACCCTGGAAACCTAGCTATGGAAGCTCCTGCCCGTGGCGGGGCTGGAGGATGAGAGCGCGCGGGTGCTGGTGCAGCCCGGAGCCTGGACTCAGAGAGCGCTCCCACGGGCGCATCCCTGGGGGTGGGAGCAGCAAAGCCGGACCACGCGGGTACCGCTCTCCCAGCACAGGGCCCCTCCCCTGCACCCACCATCACGTCCCCAGCAATTCACCCGCAGGAGCTCGCGGAGCACCCGTGGCCGCCCACACTGGGCTGGGTCTTCTGGAGATGCGGGCTGAGTCATGACACCGGCCTTTGCTTCCCGAACTGGGAGAGGTGGGGGCAATGGAAATGATGGTGCCGGCGTGGGTCTCGACTGCAAAGGGGCTGAGCAGCCTCAGTGCCCGGCACCTGCCTCGGGAGCCCTGGAGGGATGGGCCGCGGGGCCCCGGCAGGAGCTGGGTCCTGGCCGGCCGCCTGCTCTTCAGCATCCCCAGGGGCTGCGTTAGTCTTTGCTGAATGAGGCAAAATATCTGTCCCCACAAAAAGGAAAGCAGGTCGTTGTTCACTGTCTGGAGCCGGAATTGATTCAAGCTTCCCGTGTTGGAAGAGACACTTCTGTGCCCCGCGTCTCAGCGCTGCTGCCCCGTGCCCTAGGGCGTCCTCGGAGAGGGAGGAAGGATGGAGGGCAAGGGCGAGTACACCCGCTCGGCCTGGGCAGGGGGCTTTGCTGCAGAGCTGCGGCCCCTCGCGCCAGGGGTCAGGGCGAACGTCTTTCCACATCTGCCAGGGCTCCTGACCTCCAAGAGCTGAGCGTGACGGCAGCCTGCCTCGGGCAGCGCCTCCATTTGGGTGGCGAGTGGGCGTGGAGACACCTGCCCGTCTCCACCAACCTGCCTGGTTGGGGCCCAGGGGGGCTGGGATTGTACTGACTTCTTGGTCCAGGACAGGCTGGCGGCTGGGCAGGGCCTGAGCCTGGGAAAGCCAGCTCATCTCCTCCTGCGGGGGGGACCCCCGCCCTCCTCCGGGTAAGGAGGGAGGAGGGGGCAGTGGCAGCTCAGGGAGCCTTCCCTCGGGGGAGGACTCCTGCAGGAACCGCGCTCCCCCACCCGCCTCCCTTGCCCCGCCCGCCTCTCCCACCCCCTGAAGGTTCTGCCACTGCGCATTCATTCATTCGATGGCAGCTTATCGAGGGCCTGCCCTTTGCCAGGCACCGACACCCAAAGCAGGGCGACAAGCACCACAGGTGGGTATGATTTAGCTGTGTTGACTCAAAAACGCGGTGGAGTGGAAATGGGAGCAAGGGAAAAGCAGGCCTGGCGACGGGTCAGGACTCCGAGTGCACAGCCCACCAGCGCCCAGGGCGCACGTAGGAGGGAGGCAGGCCGACCTGGAGCTGGAGGACGTTCGTCTGGACGTCCCCCAAGATGTGGTCTGGGTGGAGGGGCCGGCAGGACGCACCGGGAGCCCCAGCCAGGACAACATCCTTTCCGGTAACCCCCAGGAGCAAATCCTTCAACAGACCCACAAGCACAAAATATTCTGCCGCCCACCGCTCCCCCCGCAGCTGACAAACGGCTCTCCCGCAGACTCGGGAGAGCCCGTCCCAGGCGTGTGCTGGGGGCGACGTGCTCGGCAGCACGAGGACTTGCTGCGCCTTGGACTTTCTCAGGTTCGAAACTCCTAGACGGGGAGGCCTCGGTGGGCCGGGCTGTTTAAAAGACCCTAATTACGGGAGACAGACCAAGCGAGGATGCCACGTTCAGCGTTTGTGCTGTGTGTGGCCCCGTAACAAACTCCGCCTAAACGCAGAGGGAGGCAGCGCCCCGTGTCCTCTCACCCTTCCGCGGGGCAGCAGCCTGGGCACAGCTGGCTCGGCCCGCACCTCCGGACTGCTAACAAACCGCGGGCCGGGACCCGCGCCTGTGACTGAGTCTCAGCTGGAGGCTCAACCGGGGGAAGATTCCACGAGATGCGTGTTTATGGGACCTGAATGCAAACCCTGGGTGTGCTCCTCAGGCACGCGTTAGCCCCGCAGGCTGCAGACAGGGCGGCGGGGAGATGTCCAGCTGCCTGGTTTCTTCATCTGTCACACCCAGGCCAGGGGGCCAGATGTGACCAGGCCCGAGGGGCCTTCTGTGCAGGAGCGTCAGCACCCAGCTGCATGGCAGCTCGCTTCCCGGCACCAGCCACACCTGTGCACCCGCTGTGTGCTGGACAAGCGATCTCAGGACCCTGGGCACGGCCCCTCTGATGTGACTCGGGGAGCAACTGCCAAGGGCCCAGCCCCCGCGAGGGGCGCAGCCCTGGGCCGGCCAGTGAGCGGACAAAGGGATAGGAGGACACCCTGTTCACAATGAGCTCAGGTCCACTGGCAGGGACTGGACTCCCAGCCAATACGCTGGGAACCACCCAGAGGTGACAGACCCATAGGCGGAGGGGCGTTTGGCCCAGGATGGGCTGGAGTGTGCGGGAGGAGGTGTGGCCGAGCCTCAGACCGGAGGGCGGAATTCAGGGATGCACAGGAGACGCCTTTGGAATTCCTCAGGCATGACTCTGTGATGCCAGTCAGTCTGTCTGTCTGCCTGCCTGCCAAAAGATGGGAATGCTTGTCAGTAGAACGGGCCCTTTGCCCTTGAAGGCTGGACGCTGGAGCTGGTTCTCTGACATCCGGAAGATGAGAAAGAAAGATGATTGGGGAGGGGCCATGGCTTGGCAGAAGGAGCCTCATTTTCCACGGCTGCAGCCAAGGCAGCAGGGGTAGGGGCATAGCATCGGGCCAGCTCGATCCAGCCCCCACCTTGGCCACGGCAGATGCTACAGGGATGTGAACACGGAGGGGATGCAGCCCCTGCCCTCGGGGGCCCACCATGTGGGGGAGACCCTCGTGCACATGGGAGTGGGGCTGTGGGGTGTTGGCTGCTTGTCCCCCAGCCCCACTGCCCATCGGGCACCCACAGGCCACGGTGAGGGGGCACAGACTCGTGGAGAGGGGTGGGGTCCCTGCAGA